TATATAAGACTCGAAAATATAAGCAAATATTTAGTCCGATCGAGCCTGCACGCAGTAGCCCACGGCAAGGGATTGACATCATGGAGCCGAGGGTCCAGACTTTCGTCAAGGTGGGCTGCGTTTTAGGCGTTTTAAGACCATTCCGATTAAAGTCTGATCCGGTAATTAGATTTTGAAATATGAGTGTATTACACCTTAACAAAACAAAAATAAGGGCGTCAGGCAAAATAACACGGCATTTTCAGTTTCCATCGAGGGGTTGACGACCCGAAATTCCTTCCAAAATCGTTGCCAGTCTGCATGTGGACGCCATTATCGATCAGGTAATTTATTCTTTGAAAATTATACGATTTTGATTTAGCTAAAAGCCAAAAACGGTCCTACCAGTTCTTCCTGGACGAGTATGAAAAGGCGTACCGTATCCGCTCGGCTCGACATGATTCGAGGCCAGGAGACAGCTGGACAGCAGATTTTATTCGAAAGGTAGGCACTTTTTTGTATTTACCGATACCATTAAATAACCTTAGCCTTGCCATAACTATGCAAAAAGCGTTTTTGCATTTTTAAAGCGCAGTAACCTTCAGAACTCGATCACCGTTTCTTTGCTCGTCTCTTCATCCGCTGCTTACCGAAATGTAACCTCGATGAGGGCGCGGAAGAGGGATTGGGTTTACGATCTTGTAGCGTAAGTTTGAAGCTCCTTAGTAGACAGGCTAGCAGAAAGCTTTGAGGAATCCACCTCAGCCTACAAACTTGGATTTTTTTAGTTTGCTGCGTCGTGACGCTCGGAATCGAGCCATGCTTCGATTTTATGCCCGATTATGCTCTCCAACTAGGTGAAGCTGGATGCTAGATTTTTTATCCAAATTTTTTTAGAAGTCCGACGACAGCGTGAAATACAAGCTACGCATCAGGATTTTTCGATCGAGCTAGAGGAGGAGGGCCAGGAGGTGACAGAATGCACACCGCAGTCGGGGGCGAACTCCGAGATGTACGATCAATGTGGGTTTTGTTATCTCACACTTTCTCTCTCTCTTTCTCTCTCTCTCTCTCTCTCTCTCGCTTTCTCTCTCGCTCTTTCTCTCTTCTCTCGCTCTTTCTCTCGCTCTCTCTCTCTCTCCTTCATGGATACCTTCCAGGGCTCATGCTAAGCGACTTACCGCAGGAAGAAATCGAATGGAACCTGCGCACCTATCAAGTGAACTGGCGATGGCGGCCTGCCAAGGGTAAGGCCTGCAAATAAGCCTTTCTACTGTTTTCCAGCAAAAATACAGTAATCGTGGCCCCGACCGGCTCAGGAAAAACTCGAGTCGCCGCCTACGTTGCTGATCAACATTTCCGGAGGAGAAAAGTTGATGGAAGCCGAGTAGGGTAGGTATAGAAAGAGAGAGATAGATAGAGAGAGAGAGAGAAGAGAGAGAGCGACTAGCTTGATTTAGGTAGTATTCGTCGTCCCCAGCGTCCCATTGGTCGAGCAGCAGCAACGTGCGTTTCAGGATCTCTTCGAAGGGGTGAGCTAATTTGCAGATTTAGTTTATTAAAAAAAAATTGGAGGTTAAGATTACAAGCCAAGCTTTAAAATTAGTTCAGCAGCTACAAACTCGGCGGATTCCAGAAGGATTTTTTGCAAGCTTTCTGTTTAGCGTCTGATCGTCATCGGCCTACATGGTGCATCGGCTATCGGAGACCAGGATGACCGTAAAAAGCTTCTCCTCGGAGCCCACATCACTGTCATCACCCCTCAGTTGCTAGTGTAAGCAAAAAATCTCCAAAAGCATCGACGCCTCGTTTTAGCAACATGCTACAATCCAGCGCCGCTCGGAGCGCATCTACATTTGCGACTTGACGATGATCATTCTAGACGAGTGTCACTATACGACAAAAGAGAGCGCATATAATGTGTTGATGGATATGGTCCAAGAGTATAAGCATGCAAAACCGCAGGTATGGTTTGGATCAAATACTTTCAAATGCCTTTAAAAGATTAGGAGGGTCTAAAGTCGACCCCAAACAATGACTAGGCCTCGACAGTTACGAGTCGCAGGGTTATTGCGCTTTCCAGCCCCTTTAAAGCTTTCTATCCCATTTTTTCTAGATTGTCGGAATGTCAGCCTCCCTGGGTACCGGCGACCAGCTACATAACGTCGAGCAAGTCTGCCAATACATCCACACTATGCGGGCGATGGGCTTGCCAGCAGTTGAGCACCGTGCAGAGGTACAAGGACGAGCTGAACAAGTTCGTGCCGATGCCGGAGGACGGTCAGTAAAAATTGATTACATGACTTTCAAAAAGTTTAGAAGTGAAGCACTGCACGAGGGTGACGAGGGCCGCATACGTTTTAGTAAGTCTTAGGCCTGGAAGTTAAAGTCAGCAGCACTCACTCTCTCCGCCTCTCGGTCCCCCTCTCTCTCTCTCTCTCTCTCTCTCTCTCCCTCTCTCCCTCTGAAAAGCCCTTTTCAGCCACACCCTCTGGGTCCAAACGGAAAACTACCAATGGAAGGTTCAATGTATGCTGAAGGAGCTCACCAAAAGCCCAGGAGCCGTCTTCAGCGAGGTGAGCAGCACCAGTAGCTTTGTTTGAAAAGGAGTTTCAGCACGAAATCGCGCTCGATCACGCCTTCAAATGTGTGTCTCGCTACGTCGGCGTACTCGCGAACCTGTTGGACAAGACGACAAAGTAGGGCTAGACTGGGTTTTAGAACTTGTGTTTTTCAGGCAGAGCAATTTGCCCACGCAGCTGCGCATGGATTTGATCGCCGGATTGGAGGTGTTGAGGGTAAGTAGGGGTTAACGTTAGCTCGTTCTTTAATCTTAGCTCTCTCTCTCTCTCTCTCTCTCTCTCTCTCTCACTCTCTGCAAAAAATCGTTGATTTCAGATTTGCGCCAACACTTTTCTCCTCGACGAGGTTATGCCTTCCTTTTACGCATACGAATACCTAGTAAAGGTATGTTTTTAGTATGGCAAATATATAGACTCACGGTCAAATTTAGAAGATATTGCAAAGTAGTACTTTCAACTTCAAATTTAGGCGTTCAAAGCACACGCCGGCGCCCACCAATACTACAGCGTTTTTGGGAGAATGGTAAGTAGTGTATATGGTAGTAGACTTTCATCACTTCATTTTTTCAAGATCATATAAAGGCGAAAAATTACATAGGGGAAGGAAAAGATCCTACCTTATATAATTTTGGCGTGTAACTTGTGTGTGTGTGTGTGTGTGTGTGTGGATGTCACTTTCGAGGCCCGGTTTGAGGGCCTTCCCGTGCATAAAATACCCCAATTCTTCGTCACCCGGGGAATCGACCCTTCTGTTTCCGATGACGTTCTCAGAATTTCGATAAAATACAAGTTTACAAAGTTAAAGCCGGTTTTATTCATTTTGGAGCAATTTACGCCCAATGTGAAAAATACAAAATTTCCTCATTCTTGCCAGTTGCACTTTCGCGAGTTTGGTCGTCTTTGGATCTGCCTCTCGATGCCTTTTCCTTCCCCAGCCCCGGGCAGACCTCTTGAGACATAGAGGGGTGTTTGGCACGTGCTGCCAAGCATTGCATGGTGTAGCGGTTAGCGCTTCGCCGTGCTAATCAAACCATCGGAGGTTCGATCCTCGGATATCGTGGTTGTTTTGCTTTTGCTCGGAAGTGCGTTTCGAAGTGGATTTCCGGGTAGGGACGTTATTACCAAGTTCGTCACTCAAGCCACCAGCCTATAGAATGAAGCTAGCCGCACAAGCTCGCCCTTTAGAACAAAGCTAGCCGCACAAGCTCGCGCCGCAACGCTTCAGAACGAAGCTAGCCACTGAAGCTCGCGCCACCGCTTTTAGAACAAAGCTAGCCACTGAAGCTCGCGCCTGCCGCCCCCAGAACAAAGCTAGCCACTGAAGCTCGCGCCGCAGCGCCCAGAACGAAGCTAGCCGCACAAGCTCGCGCCACCAAACTCTAAAACAAAGCTAGCCACACAAGCTCGCGCCACCAGCACCCCAAAGAACGAAGCTAACCGCACAAGCTCGCGCCTGGCACAAAACGAAGCTAGCCGCACAAGCTCGCGCCGCCAGCGCTTTTGGAACGAAGCTAGCCGCACAAGCTCGCGCCGCAACACAAGAACGACTGGCCGCACAAGCTCGCGCCACCAGCTTAGAACGAAGCTAGCCGCACAAACTAGCGCCGCAGAATAAGTCAGCCAACCATTGAAGCTGGCGCCACAAGCTTAAAGTTCAAACTCCGCTGAAGCTTGCGCCGTGAGCTGGACCTCTCGAAACAAACCGCTCAGCTGGCTCCGCCGGCAAAGAAGGTCCCTGCAATTTGGGCCCAGTATGAGGTCCTAACCTAGCCGATCAAACATGCGCCGCAGGACTAGCCACTGAGACTAGCAGTTCCGAGCTTGCGCCCCGGAGGACGCTCGATTCCTAGGGCCTAGCGGGGTCCAGCGGGGAGAGTCGCTGAAGCGGCTCCTCCCCCGCTGGTATGAACCTAATTTACCAATGTATACCTAAAATTTAGGTTCCACACTGTACTTTGTTTTTCCGAACTTCCAGGGACAACTCATCGAAGCGATCCGCAAGGAGAAAGTGGGAGAAAACAGATCCTCAGCGAGCTCGAGGTCGCGAATCCGGCATCAACTGGAATCAAAGCCGGATAGCCCGGATTATAATTTTGTGAACGAGCGATCATCTGCTCACTTGCTGTCCACTGCCATAATAAGCATCCATTCTTCGACAGACTGCGTCAAGGAGTTCGAGGGGATATTGCTGGATATGCGACCGGTATAAAAAGCTTCACACGTATTAAGGTATCTTAGGTACCAGCGCGAAAAAAATAAGGGAGCTACAAATGCACAAACTATCCAGGAGCAGTCATATGCTTTATCGATTTAAGGAAGGGGAACTGAAAGTCAGTAACTTAAGAGTACAAGTTTCTCTATATCTCTCGCTCTTTATCCTCTCTCTTTCTCTCTCTCTCTCTCTCTATCTCTCTCTCCCAGGCTACGCTCCCTTTTCAGATGCTCGTCGCCACCAATGTCCTCAAGAAGGTGTCGATGTCCAAACCTGCAACCTCATCATTAAGTACAACGTCACCGGCAACGTCATCAGCGAGGTGCAGAAGCGAGGTAAATAAGCGACTCGAGCCCAGAAATAATCCATCAGGTCGTGCTCGTGCCGTCGGATCCAAGTCCGTGCTTCTCGCCGTCACCGAGTCGGTAGGGCAACGGAGATGGAGAACAAGCTCGGTGAAATGTTCATGGACAGGGCAGCGAAGATCATCTCCCGGCTGAACGAGACCGAGTTCACCGCCAGGGTCAGTTCGAAGAGAGAGAAAAATAGGGAGGGAGCAAGGCGAGAATGAAGCGCATGAGAGAGGGAGTGCGAGAGAGTGACAGAGAGAGATAGGGATAGAGAGAGCGAGAGAGCGACTCTAGCCCCTTTCAGTGCGAGCAAGCCCGCCAGGAGCGGATTCAGCGCAAAGCACAGGAGTTGATGGAAGCAGGTGAAGCTGCAAACCAAAAATCTGGAGTGCACCTTAAAATGTATGAATTGTGAGGCGACGCTTGGCCCCTCGATGCAAATGAGGGTCATTTATGAATTTACACTAGTGCTCTGCTCACGAAGAGATCTGGGAGCGGATCCTGTTTGAGCCGGAGAAAGGACAAGGTATGCTGGCTCCTTGAAGACCTACAGGGTGGCTAGAAAGTATTTGCCGCAGCGAAAGCTCCATAAGAAATTCTCAGTGTCCGGCTTCGTTGACTTTTTATAGCCAAAATCTAGCGAAGATACCTCCCTTTACGAATATCAAAAGGCTAACACCTTAGACCTCAGATTTTAAGATACGGTCCTTTAGAGGAGCATCCAAAAAGAGCCTGCGCCGCACGTATTTTGCCTTTAGTGTTAATTTTTTTCGGTTTTGCTTGCAACCAATCAGAATAGAAAGTTGGGTATTTGATTCATTGCAAGGCCTGTTATTGGACGTATCTACCAGAAAAATTCGTTTCAGCCGTGTCGCAAAGTTTTACGCCATTTTCTTGAGTGCCCAAAATGAGCGGAACAAGGAGTTTTTGGAGCGCAAAAACAAAATGGCTCAAATATCCATATCTTCATGCGGCCAATATTTTTTTCTTTTGTGGACGCAATAAAACCAACTTCCTGGACAGGAAAAGCTCATTGGCTAGGCGTGCCAAAAGAAATTGGACCCACGGAAGAATAATAAGGTGGACTTTCTTGCCGTTGGTTTCGCACAATCTTCAAATGCCTTAAGCGGGAGTTTTCAATCATTTTGGCCCTAGTCAAAGTGTCAGCCTAGTAGCTTATACATTATCTATATTTTAATAGTAAATTTAGGGCAAGCTTTTCGAATTAATGATTTTTTAAATCCATTTTTTATTGCGGCAAATGGTTGCCAGCCACGATCTCGGCACACCCCACTCGCAAAATTTTACTTTCACTTCCGTGATCCAGTCTAAGTCTCGCGGTGTCCCAAGTACAATTTTTTTCGATAGTTTGGACAATGGTTTCTACGATACAGCACCGGAAAAGTATAAGATATTCCCTAAGAAATTTTTCGTGGGCTTCAAAGGTGCCGAAAACCAATACAAAAAACGTGGTTTTATGTATTTAACTCCAATTAAAGTTATAGGAGCAAGGAGTTGCGCGTTTCTATATATCAATCGATAGAGCAAAAAATTCTCTACCGAATACACCCCCCAGATGCCTTTGTCGCAAAAATTTTAGAAGAGGAAAACCGGAGTGAACGCGCGGCAAATACTTTTTCTAGCCACCCTGTATATAATTGCCTTCATTGCCCCTTTAGAATGATATTAAATTTTCCAGACCTTCGGCGACACAGCCCTCGTGCTTGGCAAGGCCAAATGCGCAAATATTGTGGGCGATGGGCCCTGTAATCAGCACCTTGGTTATGTGCTCAAGTATGCAGATTCCTATCATGTACAATTGACGTTGAGATCGGTAAGTTTCCATTATAACTGATTATATAAAACAAAACAACTGCATTTAGCTGCTGATCATCGACGACCAAACGGGTGATCCGTCGGATGAGACCAGAAGAAAATGGGCGAGCGTCCGAACGTCGTTGTTCTGGATTCGTGGCATCAACGATGGGGATTTGGTGGGTGTCCTAAAGTTACGTTAGAGGTGATAACATGGTGATACCTACAAAATATTAAAACGGCAAATTTTAGAAGCGCATGCTTCGTCCGCTACCACAGAAGTTGATGACGTCGTTCGTGGAGGCAGAGGAGGCGCTGAAGCAAGAGGTAGGGGTGAGAGAGAAAGAGAGATAGGAGAGGGAGAGAGATAGACAGAAAAAGATGATGCAATGACCTCGATCCTACGCCTTCTTAGATGAAGCAACAATTGTCTCGTCGTCGTGAGCGCTTGGCCCGAGGCCAGCAACCACTCTTGGAATGGGACGACGACTACGACATGAAAAAGAAATGAGAATGACTAAAGCTCACTTGGATTCTCAGAAGATAATCTCATTAATATGCCGGTATGACCGTTCACCCTTGAGTAGAGTGTGTCGTTTGCAAATACAAATCCACTTTGAATAAATAAACCCAAATAACGGATATTCAAATAATCCAGAACCCGTTATTTGAATAACCGTTCTCCCCGAGTGCCGATTCAAATATATTTAAACATGTTCAAGTAAAACCGAGCTTTGTCAAATCGCTCTCCTTTTGACAAAACCTAGTCAAATCTTTGATTCAAATAAGAAATGTCAAATTTCAAGAACAGTTGGACTAAAATATCAACCGCCAAATATCGCACAGCCCTGCAACGCCATTTTTGCAGAATGCCGGCATCAAAAATATCGACAACAAAAATGCCGACACAAAAATTTTCGATATAGGTGTTAGCATTGCATTCGGAACAAAACCTCCCGTCGGAATTTCGCATGTCGGCATTTAGCACGTCGGCATTTTCAAGTCGGCATTCTGACAGTTGTTATATTGCGCTTGGCGAGACGATAGGCACTTGGTTGTCTGCCGCTGATTCCGATCACCGAAAAACTGGAAACCCCAACAATCCCGGAAATACCGAAAATACCGTCATTTTTCAATATTCGGCATTATAGCATCCAGGAAATGGTCGGCGTTGATATTCTAAGTTCAACAAAGGCCCTTCTTAAATCCATGGGTGCGATTTTTCAAATTTCGCTGAGCTTGTCCAGCTCGGCTTTATTTGAATATGTTCAAATATATTTGAATCGGAGCGGAGGTGGTCCCGTTATTTTGGACCGATTATTCGAATAATTTCCGGGATGCCTTCAAACAATTTATTTGAGCGGCCTGGAATATATTCAAATAATTATTCAAACACGACACACTCTACCCTT